CACTGCATGCATTGCAGCAACTGAGTCTACATGCAGAGACCACCATGAGTCCACGCTATGGATGGTGTCCCACAGTGCTGTTCAGAGCATCAGGCCTGTTATCTGCAGCGTGACACCATTTGCCTTGCAAGCTCTCACTTCAGTTTAAAGTAACAATGGAAAATAATTGAGTTTCCTTTATTCTCACAGCACACCTGGAACATCCCAAGCAACTTATGTTTTACACGGCACATTACTCTGCTCTGTATGCCAGAAGCTGCAGTTAACTTTTAACACGACAAATTTTGGTGCACATTTCTTATCCTGTGTGACAGAAAACACTGGATTCCGTCTGCGCCAGACTTACAGAGAAAGCAGGTGCAACACAAGCTCCTATTTGGAGGTTTGCTTCTTCACTCCAAGGCTGCCTTCAAAAACATTAATCACATTCTGGGAGAATCTGCACCTGGTGAGTTTGGGGCTCTGATCCTTCAGGCTGCTCCAGGAGCCCACCACATGCACCAACTCGTGCAGCTGAGGCCTGGAGGTGAGAACTGAGATCCACTTTGGCATAATAGGTGCAACTCCCTATTAATTTGTCAAGCGTTTGATGAAGTTGAGCAACACAACATACCTGCATCATCTACGCTTGAGCAGGTTGTCTCTACCTTATTGCCACGTGGAGGGGAAATGTTAAAGCACATTTGTGCGATTTTCCACCAGTTTGCACCCCATCAGTTGCACACGTGACATCACATGGGCAAAGCTTCAGCTCTGCGTAGTCCAAGCACTGGCAAACAAGATGTTAAATGCAGGTGTACACACTGAAAGTTTCTTGAGACAGGAAAATAAGCGGCAAACATTACATATGCGATGATTAAGGAACTGCAACATTTCAGCACGAAGTTATCCTCTGCACAGAGGAGCCAGAGAGCTGCTGACCCCAGATTACAGGCCACGTGAGCTGGTCTCTATCTGTCCTGACACCCCACAGGCTGTAGCACTTCTGGGCTGATAAGTACTGGAGGGATGCAAGATGACTTGCCAGCTTTCGGTATGGGTCACTGTTTCTCCCGAGCTTTTCTGTTGCGATGCACAATGTGGGAAAAGCTCAGCAACTGAGATTCAGCAGAAAACCCCCAAAGCCAGAGCACTATCACAACTCACAGCACGCCGAGTCATAAATTACAGAGCGCTGCGGTGTGTGGTTTTGTTACCTCATGCTCAACACGATGGTAATTACGAGCTGCACACCTCCCATCTCCCTGACCCACAGCACTGCATGAAGGTAACACTACACTTGCGATTTAAGCTTCTCTAATTTTTCAGTCGTTCAGGCCTGCTTATTGAAATTAGTCTGAAGCGAGCACCATCAGCTCCATCATTTTGTAGCAGCACGTTATTTTGTTACGTCTCCGCTGCATCACGCAGCCTGCAGCCCAGCGGTGCTTAAAACTTCTGTATTTTCTGCCCCGCTTCTAGAAGCAGCAGCCCCGTTTGGGGCAGCTCGAACGCCGCAGCTTCTCTATGAACGAAGAAACGTGAGAAAGACGGAGAAGTCGCCTGAAACTCCAGGCAACACCTGCCGGGGCCGAGCCGCCGGCGGCCAACCGGAGCGGCGTGGGGACGCTCCGCCAGCGCCCGGCCCGGCGCCGCGCTCCACGCGGGCACGCCTGGGGCCTAGCGGCGGCCCGCAGAAAGTTGGCGTGAACGGCCGCCGCGCAGCGCCGCGCCGCACCGCCCCCTCCCCTCAGCGCCGCCCGCACAGCCGAGGGGCGGCCCGGCGGCCCCTGCGCACGCTCCCTCCCTCCCCGCCGCCCGCCCACGAGGCACCCTCCTCGCCGGGAAGGCACTGACGAGTCATCGCCCCGCCGCCCGCAGGCCCCGCCGGCCCGGCGGGACGGAGCCGCGGGGAGAGAGCGGGGCGAGCCTACAGGTGACGGCCCGGGCTCCGCCGAGCGGACGGCACGAAGCCGCGGCTCGGCCCTGGGAGCTCCGCCGTTCCACGCCCCCCGCCCGCCCGCAGCCGTCCCCCCCGGCGCCTCCCGCGCGGTCGGGCTGCGGCGGGCGAGCCGTGCTCCGCCACACCTAGCAACAGCGCTGACAGGACGCAGCGCGGCGGCGGGAGGAGGAGGAAGCGGAATGGCTGCCGCCGCGGCGGCTCCCTCCCTCCCTCCCTCCCCGGAGCCCTGACAGCCGGAGCCGGGGCGGAAGCGGCAGGCGGCGCGCTGCGCCCGTCCTCCTCCTCCTCCGGTCTCCGCGCTCGCCGCTGCCGACGCCAACTAACTCCCCTCGCTGCGCCCAGCGGGCTGCACGCGCCCACACCCACCGCGCGGCCGCCTCCCCCGGCCGCCCTCCACGTCGCCCCGCGGGACCGCTCCGCGCCCGCCCGCTCCCAGCGCCGGCGGCGGCCGCCGCCCCCCGGCTCCCGCCGCACCTTGTGCCGCCGCACACGCGGCCGTGCCCTGCCCTGCCCTGCCCCGGGCGCTCACCGATGTGGTTGTCCTCGATGTGCTCGATGAGCTCCGCCAGGGTCGGGAAGTGCAGCCCGCAGCCCCCGAACCTGCAGGCGTTGGAGAAGAAGGAGGCGGCGGCGATGCCTGTCATGGTGTTACATCGAGATCCCCCCGCCGTGCCGTGCCTGCTCTGCCAGGGCCGGCGGCGGCGGGGCGGGGAGAGGCGGGGGCAGGGGGGGAACGGGACGGAGCGAGAGATGGGGAGAGAGCGAGGTGGGGGTGGGGAGAGGAGAAGGAGGTGGCGGCGGCGTCGGGAGCGGCGGAGGGGAGGGCCGGGCTGGGTGGGGGGAGATGAGGCAGCCGCAGCTGGGAGGAGGGACCAGCGCCGCTCCGTAACAGCTGTGCAGGGCACCGCGCTCCGCGCCCGCCGCTGGGCCGGGGGGTGGGGGGGTTGCGGCCGCCGCCGCCGCCGCCGCCGCCGCCGCCGGGGGACACCCGCCCGGGCTCAACGCGGGGGCGGCGGAAGCGACGGCACGGAGCCGGGGGCGGGCGGGCGAGGGAGCGCTCGGCCGCCAACTTTCCCCCCTCGGGGGGCGCCGAGGTGAGGGAGCGGGCTGCGGCAGGGCGCTCCGCACGCAGCCGCCGCCTCGGCCGCATCGGAAAGCGCGAGGAGCCCTCGGCCGGGGTCACGCAGCCGGGCGGCTGAGGGGAGGCGAGGCCGCGGGACCCGGCGCTCACCTGCGCGGGGCCTGGGGCACCTGCCAGGCCTCGGCGGGCGGCGAGGCGCCCGGGGGCAGCGCTGGAACGGCACGGCACGGCCCGCGGGCTCGGAGAGCGCAGGGGGGACCGCACCGCGCTCCTGGAACCTATTTTGACTTTCTGTCTCCGGAAAGCTATTCAGCGGAGAGGCTGGCTGATTAATTGATTTTAATGAAGGTCTCCCTAGGCTCAAATTCACAGACAGCTTTATTTAAAATTAAAAGGAAAAAAAAAAAAAAAAGTGAGTGTGCTTGTCAGGAAAGCTGCTCCTCTTCTTCTTCTTTCTTTTTTTTTTTTTTTGCCCCCCTCCAGTTCTGTTATCATCTTTATCTATATTTATACAGCCCTACAATGTTATTAATTATTTGGAGCAAAAGGGTGACTAAAAAAAACCAAAACCCCTCAAAATCTGCATAGAGCTCTGTTGATTATATAGGCATAAATAATTTCACTAATCCTGCTGACAGTTAACAACTTCAGATTGTTCTCAGCCCTATAAAATTAACCGTATGTATAAGAACAAATAGAACCCACATCTGTCTTGTTAACTGTATTGCAGGTGGGGATGTTCCTGATGTTGCTGCAGTAGCTGAAGAGTAGCCGAGCCTGAAAATGCAGTAGGAAGGTCAGTGGATGGAAAATGAGCATTTGCCCACTTCCAAACAACACAAAAGTGTGAATAATCATCCTGGTTTAAGTGAACAGTGTCCTACGTATCACAGAGCCTGTCAGTGGTGGTGACAAAACAAGCTTTGTCCTTTAAGTTGGATTAGTCATTTTCTTTTACGTTCATTTTTTTTTTTTTTCATATACTTTTACATACTTCTTGTGATATTTCCTCTCCTCTAATTGTATTTTTCTTACTGTTTTTTCTTAGTACAAATGCAACCCCTGTTTTTTAGAAAGAAAAAAAAAAAGCCGGTATAGAAACCTTTTACTTCAACACATAGAGTTTGCAAGCAGAGTTTGCAGATAGACTTCAGATGTTGAGCCACAGAACTGCTAACAATATGGAACCACTTTTGGGGGATGAAGGTGGAAATAGGTGACAGACACACAGTGGTTCTCAGAACATTGTCAGGGTTGAGGTCTGTAGTGAAAATCACAGAATCACAGAATTGCCAGGGTTGGAAGGGACCTGAAGGATCATGAATCTCCAACCCCCCTGCCACATGCAGGGCCACCAACCTTCTCACCTAATGCTAGACCAGGCTGCCCAGGGCCCCATCCAATCTGGCCTTGAACACCTCCAGGGACAGGGCATCCACAACCTCCCTGGGCAGCCTGTTCCAGCACCTCGCTACTCTCTCTGTAAAGAATTTCCCCCTGACGTCCAACCTAAATCTTCCCTTCCTCAACTTAAAACCATTTCCCCTTGTCCTGCAGTTATCAACCCTTTCAAAGAGTTGATTCCTCTCCTGTTTGTAGGCTCCCTTTAGGTACTGAAATGTTGCAATGAGGTCACCCTGCAGCCTTTTTTCCTCCAGGCTGAACAAGCCCAGCTCCTTCAGCCTGTCCTCATAGGGGAGGTGCTCCAGTCCCCTGCTCATCTTTGTGGCCCTCCTCTGGACCTTCTCCAAGGGTTCCCTGTCTTTTTTGTACTGGGGGCTCCACACTTGGACGCAGTAGATGGTAGGTGACAGCTTGAACCAGTGATTGAGCACCTGGTAGGAAGGCAGGGCCAACCCAGGAGAGCTCAGGTGCAAGCAATGCATTTGATTAACTGGAAAGGCTGGAGGCTGGAGGCTGGATCCACCCCTTCCCAGACCTCATTTAAGGGTTGGCAGGGAAGGGGAGGGTGTCTCTCTGGAGATCCCTGTGTACCTGAGGCTTCCTGAAGGTAGGCAATGTCTTTTTTTTTTTTTTTTTTTTTTTTTTTTTTTTTTTTTTTTTTTTTTCTTCTTTCCTTTCCCCCCCCGTCTGCTGCAGTTGTAGCTGAGTGAATCCTAGCTTGTAGTAGTCTGGGATCTTGCTGCTGTGCTGTTATCATGGTGTTTTCTATTGTGTTGTAAGGGCAGTCAAACTATAGCCTGGAACATTGTGGAATGGGTGCTGTTAAGCATTCTGTGAATGTGTATAATTTTTTTTGGGGGGGAGGATAATACAGAAGCATATGATGTCAGATGCCTCACTTGATCCATCTTATTTGAGAATAAGTACTTTGTGAGTAACTATTCTTTTAATTTCTCCACTATCTGTTATCAGAGAAACTTATTACTGAGAGTTAACTTGGCAAGGGAATTGTTCTTGGGTATGACTGTGGTTCTGCAACTCTACACCATGTGAGATGTCACTGGGAATAATGCTGTGAAATTGAGTACATGCCCCTGTGATCAAAGCATAAAGCAATAAATAGTGCATGAGAAGGAAGAATTAACATGGAAGGGGTACCTTCCACAAGAAACTGCTGTACTGGATGCCACTTTGTTTAGTTAAACGTGTAGGCCTTTTTAAATCTGTAGTGTTCTGGGTAAGCATGGATTCTCTATATTGTTAACAAGGTCAGGAGTGCAGATTTTGTACTTCTTTGCCCATTAAGAGGCACCGTCTCAGTGTAAACCAGCTAGCATAAATCAAAGAATATTCCTAAAACAGGAAATCAAGATTAATTTGAATGTGTATTAAATATAAGAATTTCATGAGGCTGAACTACCATGTTCAACAGATGCGTGAATAAAGTCTATTATGAAACAATACTATAATGGATGTTAGGTTGGTGTCAATAACTTTTAATAACTGTTAACAGAACACTTACTGCCTACAAAGAAGTCAGAGTACTTGATTGCTACAAGCCTAATCAGAATGGTTTGGGTTGGAAGAAACCTTTAAGACCATCTAGTTCCAACCCCCTGCTATAGGCAGGGATAGTAAACATCCAAGGTTAACTACCTGCTTACAATAGGCATCATCACAGTTGCTTTCTGATGCATTAACTCAATTGGTTAGCTTCAGGTCTGTTTTCGTTCCTTGCTTGTTAAATTCTCTGGATTTTTGAAACCTTTTGAGCTAGGGAGAGTACTTAGCTCTTGCAGCAGTTAAGCTGGAGAGTTGAGAGCTACTCAGTATCCCACAGAGTAAGGATTCAAGTAGGTATATTTTTCCTACTACTTTCTCCTACTCTGTAGGGCCTGAATTTGTAGATATTCAGCTATAGTGCATTGCTAGAAAGTTAATAGTTAAGCCACTTCACTTTTTTCTCCTATGATTTAAGCATTTGGAACAAGAAAGTTGTGAGAGGACAAGGGGAAATGGTTTCAGACTAAAAGAGGGGAGACTTAGATTGGATATAAGGAAGAAGCTTTTTATAGTGAGGGTGGTGAGGCACTGGAGTTAGTTGACCAGAGAGGTGGTGTACATCCCCTCCATGGAGACACTCAAAGTCAGGTTGGACAGGGCTCTGAGCAACCTCATCTGGCTGTAGGTGTCCCTGTTTGCTGCTGGGGAGTTGCACTAGGTGACCTTTAAAAGTCCCTTACATCTCAAACAATTCTATGATCTGGGAGATTGAATCATTTTTAACAGACTAGATGACTTCCAAATCCACTCTATCTTAAGGTCCTTTGTTATGAATAATCATTTTCTTATTCAAGCTTTACTGGGATAGAAACAACAGTATTCATGGAACAAACTAAAGGAACGTGGAACTTGGTCCCTTGTTTTGTTCTTTGGGAGAAATAAATGCAAATTGGACCCAAATGGTTGTCAAGCTACAGCTAATTGCTGAGTAAATCTATTTCAGGGGTGATAATAGTTATCTGAAAGGATACTTTAAATAAATGGAGCTGAAAAAAGCTTAAGTGGGTGATAGACCCTGCTTTATTTATTTTTGAAGCTAATTTGAAGGCTGCTAAGACCCTTGGTTCAGCAGTTACTTCTGCTTAGGCAGAATCTTGCACACAGCTGAGAGCAGGGTGCAGGTGAAGAAAGGCTGTGTTGCTATTCAGGCCTTATGATGCGGAGTGGATTGCTAGATCATCTGATTACCTGCTGATAAATGCATACCCAAGGTCTGCATCTGTTCTTCACTAATGTAACACCTTTAAGTGTGCTTCATGTAAAGTCAATTGTGATAAAGAAACATGCGTAGGGTGATTTTAGTTATCTTCATTAAAATTATGGTTTGTAGTCTTGGATTGGTATTCCTTTTCTCCCTAGGTGTGCTGGCTCTTAAAGAATCACAGAATGGCCAGGGTTGGAAGGGACCTCAAGGATCATGAATCTCCACCCCTGCCACAGGCAGGGCCACCAACCTCCCTGTTTAATACTAGACCAGGCTGCCCAGGGCCCCATCTAATCTGGCCTTGAACGCCTCTAGGGACAGAGCATCCAAAAGTTGGTGTTCTGATTGCTGGTCTTTCTGATAACGAATTTTTACTAATGTAAAAATGTTGTTAAATTGTGGTAATAACTGCTGTAGTGTAACTGCTGGGCCTTATCTGTGGGTAGTTTGCTGCCATCTACTCACAGTGTTCTGAATCCTGGATTATTCTGTCCTAGAGCTCTCTGGACAGCTAGAGGTGGGAACTGGAGACTCTTGGTAGCTGTTGTCTGTGGCATCCTGAGGGTGATAAAGCTTCTGTTAAAGATACTTCATCCCCAGCTAAATAGTAAGAAAATCATAATACTTGGTTCAGAATTTTATTTACAGTATTATTTATTTAAAGTACTTGGTTTTAGCTGCATTTCTAATAGTGAGGCATTACTGAGAACATTGTTATGACTTGCACAAGAATGATGTGAACATGTGAAACTTCTTAAAATTATAGTCTTAATGTGGTCCTGATTGTCTTTAGGTCATACTTGAAACATTTACTTAGGTGTTCTTTTCCTAAAGAAAAAATAGTTCAAGGATAGCTGGGTATAACAAAGAAATGCTGCCAGCGCTCTTCCCTAAAGCATCGCTCATTAATTTCTCAATGTAAGTTTTTACCATTTTATTTCTCTCTACCTATGCAAACTGGCAATGTAAGATGCATCTCACAAGTTGGGAAGAATTCATAACAGAGACATATCACTGCTGCAAAATCATTATACAAGTAAAACATACTTAAGCATTTTGTGTCATGAGAATCCTATTTTTAATTTACATTGCTGAATTAGTTTTCTCTTGGCAGTGTACTGTGTAGCTTCAGGGTGCAATGGAAAAATAGAATGTGAAGCTGGGAAAGCACTGTATTCCCCACTAGTTCCAGATGCCCCAAAACAATAGATAGAAATCCTGCTTAGTTGAACTTGAGAGGCTTCCACAATTTCAGAAGGACAAATCTTCAGATAAACAGGAGATCAAAGCTATCTCTACTTTCAGTTACTGGCATCCTAGGAGAAAAGGAATCCTCTTGTTTTGACTAATTCAGGAAATCTGCAGCTTCAATGATGTTATAGCATAAACTACAGTTACAGTGTTAGCTTGCCTTGGAATTATGAAAAACAAGCTGTCTCAGTGGTCTTTTTTATTTTGAAAAAAAAAAAACAAAACTTTGCAATTAGATGGGTATTGAATACCCTACTCTATTCTGCTACAACCCAGAGGAAGAACACACTTCTAAAACTTTTTTTTCATTCAGAACATTGGAGACAGTGAACATATACATTAAAAAGAAAAAAAACACACCAAACACTTAAAGAAATAGCAATCTTGTAAGTCTATCTCAGTGAAAGCATAACTTGTCATTTAATTAAAATCTAATAGTATGTAGCAAAACTTCCTGTTGAATAGCTTTCGTGGCATCTCAAAAGCACATTCTGAATTTCTTACCTGTTCCAGTTCCTAAACTGAGGACCCAACTTGTAGCTGATTTTATGACATCTACTGCCATTAACTACAAAGTTAGTAAAAAAAAAAAAACAAAACTTTCATTCCAAAATGCATCAAAATTATACTATAAATTTTCACCGAAATAGTTATAAGTTAGAATAAGCTTTTGTTTTCTTTTCTTGGGAGTGAAAGTGTCATCACAACTGACAGGACATCAAACTCCCTTACCCTCTGACCCTGAAGATCATTTATGATGCCGTAGTTACAGGATGATTTAAAGCAGTCCTAAGGCTGTTCCGTCAGCATCAGTGATCTGCAAAGACATGAGGCATAGCAGGAGCTTAGTGCCATCTCCCATTTTTCTTCCCATTCCTCTGCCCCAGATCGAAATTTAGCTAATAAACCCCAGATCCTTCATTTCTGGAACTCCTCATAGAAAGTTGTGTATTTTAGAGCCTGCAAATTCAGCACAGGCTCCCTTCTGTTTAGCCTGAGAATTTCCCATTTAAAAAATTCTTCATTGAGCCAAGAATACCAGCAATACAGAAAATTCTGCACCAAGGCATAGGTTCCAACAAAAATCCACAGAAGTACAGAGGGCCAGAGAATCCTCTGTGTTTGAGCAGGAGTGCAAGAAATTGCATAGGGAATTTCTCCTTTTCTTAAAAGGCTTGTCTTTCTGACATGCTTAAATTAGGTTAGGGAGAAGAAAGCTTTGATGTGAATTCAACTTAGCACTAGTGATGGTCTGCTGTCTCTAAGAGTAGAGGGACAGATAACTTTGTTAACAGGAGGCTTCACACTCACTGAGTATAGAGCCTGATGGCACTGGGAAGTTGATACACAGGGCATTGTTCAGAATAACATCAATTTTCAAATAAAAGAAAACCCTACCTACAAAAAAATCTCCTGTGACAAACAGACTGTCAGAAGCTCAGCTTCAAGAATGTTGTGAATCAGGGTATTGCAAGTATTACAAATCATAATTGCCACTATCACTGCCAAATAAGCATGTATTTCTTGTGGCAGCTTAAATCAGCAATACAAATAATGTGCTCATCTTCCTTCTGTTCCATCTTTTGTTT